TTTTTTATCGATTTAAGCGCATTAAGTGCGTGGGAAAGTTTGGATAGGTTTTCTTTTTTTTTTCTTTTTTTTCTTATTTTTTCTCGCTGCTACAAAAATGAGGCTGCTTTTCACTGATGGATAGTTACATGTTCCTATTAAAGTTGGAGGGGCAAACGTGAGGGGCGGCGCCTGACGACGGTCATTCCCGAGGCCACGCTCCATGCCATGCCTGCGCGCGTGTGTGCATCGTTCATCATCGTTATCATCGACTTTTTTCTCGGGCCGCTTCAACTGGTCACCTTTTCGGGACGCTCTGCTTTTTTTCGTGTTCGTGGTTCACTGACAAACAATGTTCACTGGTTAGGAATACATTGTCTTCACTTGTTTCACATTCGTCGTCTTCACTTACGTGGACGCCACGCTCGACACTGCAAGCTTAGTTGGCTCCCCGACACATTTTTTCTCTGCTTTCATTTAAGAAAGGTGTCATTTCAGGAAGGATTCGCTGGTATGTCAGATCTCCCCGACGGCGTTCTCCTCGGTTGTGGTAATCCCCTGCTTGACATCCAAGCTGTAGTTGGCAAGGTAATCCCTCCAGCATATTCGAAATTTATTACTTGGTGTTCCGAAGTAAAACTCAAAATCGTCGGAGTTGAGATGCGCCCGAAATGTATCCTCCGCATTTGCGAACATTGTTCCGTACTTTCCGACTAATTCATGCATTCAGGATTTCCTCAATAAATGGGGCCTCAAGGAAAATGATGCCATCCTCTGTGACGACAAGCATAATGCAATGTGAGGTTCTCGTTCAATACTTGGTTTAAATAAGTTTTTTTTATGTTTTGTTTTGTTCTGCTTTTTATAAGTTGTTCTCTCCCGCTTGTATATTACTGACTCTTTAAAATTGATTTTTTGGTCTTCCAGGTATACCTGCCTTTTTTCAGGTTCGACGAGCTCGTCGAAAAATATGAAGTCGAATATATCCCCGGAGGTGCGACCCAGAATGCTGTTCGTGTTTGCCAGGTATTGCTGTTTTTTCTAACATTTTTGGATGACAAGTCCGACTATCCCATACTTGCACTGTGGGACGGTCGGACTTGTCCTACAACAGTACTCGTGATGATTGTCTGCCTATTCTAGAGAATCGAAAAATTCGCAACGAAATGGATAGTGTTAGTGTAATCAGCAAAATGTGCTTGCCACACATTAGGTTGAGTGTATGTTCGCTTCACTGAGGAATGGAATGTTCAAATCTCGACCTGACCCTTCACAGCGTTGTGCATCAATGGGACGAGAAGTCGTCAGTGTTGTACGACTGACTACCTTAATTCTTCCTTTAAGCTGCCTAAATTCGCGCTCAATCGATCTACCGCTCCCGCCACTTGTACAAAATCGCTCACGTCGCAAAGTCTGACATCGGCTGATGGATTGCGGACTCTGACACGGCCTAGCCATAAGATGAACATTAATTCACCAACGGGGATGTTTGATCCATACAACACGAATATCACACTGATGCTGAGGTACCAGTGGTTTTCACACTGACATCTCGTATTACCAAAATTACTGAATACTCACTGCAAAAATCAACTTGATATGGAAATCACGAATATCGCTTTCATTTTCATTGAAAGTGCTGAAATCACCAGTACAGGCACTCACGCTAAAAGCCTGTGATTACGGTGACGTGACACGGGCGCAAAACGTCTTATCACTGAATTTGTGTTGTATCCGTGTTCTGAGGCCATAGCGTGGCTCAGACTATCTTTGGGGCTAATCTGTCGTCAGTATGAATAACGAAGAAAAAGTTCGCGAGAAAACCACCCCAGTTTTGGAAAAGTCTGGCAGTAAAGGATAGTTAGTGGATAGCATCAGCAAGCACGGTGCTAACTTGGCTGGAGGAGGGGGCACACGGCGGC